TTGGATTTCTAGGTGAGGAATGCATGGTCCATCAGTATTCCTTTAGTTATGACCAGTGAAAGTGAACATATTGCATGGATTAAATAAAAAAAAAACAATTCATGAAGAAATGCAGCTTTACATGACGGAATGTAATCTTCCTGATAGCTTTCCCTCAAGTGAATGTAATATTTCTATCCCTGAATATATTTCATAAATTTTTATGTGAAAGAACTTTTTTGTTTTAGTATTTTACCATTCACACGAGTTTATTTTGCAACTGACTGGATTCACTTCTTTTGAAAGTTCTCCTTTTCTTTTTTTTCCAGGAGATCCAGAGCACAAGCCTTATGTCATTTGTGTACCTGATGTTATTACAGTTAACTTGGATGGAACAGAAGACTTTGTGATTCTCGGCTGTGATGGATTGTGGGATCGAATGACCCCTTCAGATGTAGTTACATCTGTTTACTGTCATGTCAAAGAAAATCCCAATAATGTAGAGAATGTATCATCATGTTTAGTACACGAGGCTAAAGACAAAGGTTCTAACGACAATATTACTGCCATTGTGGTATTTCTTAGAGATCCAGCAGATCTAGCCAACAGTCCTATGCCTGTCCCGGTGATGTTCCCACAGCTGCAAGGCGAACTAAGAACCTTTGGCACACAAATCATTGGTGATGATGGTGCATTACTTAGCTGTGGCCCAGACTATTTGGAGAATTTTAGCAAAACTCAAAAACATGAGCACTGGAAACGGAAGTCTCATAGTGGAATTGAACAGTCTGGGATCTCTCAAAGTAACCCAGTTGGAACTAACAGGCCTGAGGAGATTTATCGACCCTCCACTATGGACGTCATGCCTGAAAGAACGGAGCTCAGTGAACTGCCTACTCCACCCATTGATGAAGTAATGAACATCAAGAAGTTGGAAATGTATTCAGAAAGTGTAGAAAAAACAACGAATATGGTAGTTCAAGACTTTAATCCTTCTCCCGTGAGACGAGAACATTCTGTTCACGCGCAACAACTGGAGGCTAAAAAAGTTGATATCGACCTACCAAAAAGACACGTCAAAATTGAAGAAATATCAACTGAGTTAGTAAATTCAGCTATTGAATCAGCTATTCATGTTGTTAAGAGTAAGGAAAGGTACTTGGTCACACAACCGCAAGACCTCGAAGAAAATACTGGGAAGAGTGTTTCGCTTCAACATAGCTATGTTAGTATTGAAGAATCAGCAATATGTCAACTTGAAAAATCTAGTCAGTTTGGATTTGAGCGGCAGAAAGAGCAAGTTGAAGAACAAAATGAAACTGATACTGCACTCATTGCACCAGAAGTACAAGAGCTGTCATTGACTCCTAAAAGTTTTCCAGAAAAATCACTATTCACTCCAGGACCTGGGTTAGAAACTACACCAACTTTACAGTCTGCAACAGAACATCAACTACTTATAACACAAGGTGTAATAACACAGTGTTTACCTACTTTAAAACCTGAAACTGAAAAGCCAGTACATGCTCAACAAGATGGTGTAACACAACCAATTCCTAATCCATCATCTAACACTGAGAAGCCAGCACACACACTCCAAGATGACATAACACAACCAGTACTTGATCCATTATCAAAAACTGAACAATCAATACTTGCACAACAGAATGAATTAACACAACCATCAACTACACTATTAATTGAAACTGAACAGCCAATAACCACGGTATATGATGAATCAACTCAACCTATAGCTGTCCCAGTACATTGTCAACAGGATGACTTAACAAAACCAGAACGTACTCCATCAGCTGAAATGGAAAAACCAGTGCATTATCAATGGGATGAATTAACAAAACCAGAACCTACTCCATCTGAAATTGAACAGCCAATACATTATCAAGAAGATGACTTAACAAAACCAGAACGTACTCCATCAGCTGAAATGGAAAAACCAGTGCATTATCAATGGGATGAATTAACAAAACCAGAACCTACTCCATCTGAAATTGAACAGCCAATACATTATCAAGAAGATGACTTAACAAAACCAGAACTGTACTCCATCAGCTGAAATGGAAAAACCAGTGCATTATCAATTGGATGAATTAACAAAACCAGAACCTACTCCATCATTTGAAACTGAACAGCCCATACATTATCAACGAGATGAATTAACAAAACCAGAACCTATTCATTCATCTGAAACTGAACAGCCTGTACCCAGTTTATGCGATGAATCAAAACAAGCATTGTCTACCTCACAATCTGAAATTGAGCAAACAGTATCCGTTTTGGAGCTTAAAACAGATCCACTGTTACAATATTCACAGATACAATTACTAAATTTAATACAGTCTGAGAGAAAACAACCATTATTAGACTCTGAACATGTTTTAGGTCATTCACCAGCTAGGTTGTTTCCTGAACTAGTATCGTACACACCAGATGTTCTGCCTGAACATATCCTACTCCAACAAACAGAACCAGAACAACCAACATTCACACCAGATACTAAATTAAAGAAACTGTTAACCATGCAGCTACTTTCAGAATCAGATTCAAGTGATTCAGACTTAGAAAAGCTCAAACCTGCTGCTCCAAATGAACCAGAACAACTGATACCCATACATACTGCTTCAAAGGAATCTACACACATTTCTTCAGTCTGCCCAGAGTTTGAACATTTAAAGCAACAAACGACGGAAACTATACCGCGTGAACAACCCAGTCAGTTAACTCCCTGTGAAAGTGAAATAAGTACCATACAAGCAGAATCTCAAATCCCAAACTTTGAAATAGAGAAGCTTTCGGCACTTGGAAAGGTTGAGAGTGATGATGCACCAACAGTACAACATAGTATAACACCAGACCTTTCAGAACATGAAAATATCAGAACACTGGATGCTTTAGAGAAATCTTCTCTGTTACCATTTGGTGAGCTGCACATGGCTTCAGCTGCAAATGAAGTAACGGAATTACCCAAAGAATCCTCAACAGATAACTTGGGGGTTGGTAGTACAGTAATTGAGCTTGGAAGCATTCCAGATACGGTACCAGAAGCTGAAGGGGTTATAGAGGATGTTGATTCAGACTCTGAAAAGGATGGAGGATGGAAATATGTAAAAGGTGAGGAGAAATCTGAGTTAATTTCATCACCAAAAACTACAGAGGCAGAAGAGATCGCCATAAGTAAGTCCATTACTTCTTCCAAGACCTTGCATAAAGCTGGGACAAAGCCTAGTAGAGCAACCAAGCAAAATATGATTAAACCATCCAATGAGAGGTCAAAGCAGGCTATTTCTGTACTAAAACCAGAGAAAATGAAGGATATTCAACAAGATAGACCAAAATTACCCAAAAAAGCAAGTTCCACTTTAAGACCACCAACTTCTAAAGAAGATATGACACGACCAGCAACAAATATTACTCCAAAGCCAGCTCGTACTCCAATTTTTAAGAAACCAGTAGTATCTAGTACCACAACAGTGCCTTCTGCCAAGAAGACTGTGTCATCTACAACTTTTTCAAAACTTGGCACTAAACCAGTAAGTTCTGGGAGCACCACGCCGAGACAGCAGCTGTCCAAACCAAGACCAACACCAGCAAAACCGTCCACTCCAGTCACAGCACAAAAATGTACTGAACCATCACGAGGTATCTCTTCTAGTAAAGCATCAAAAGGACTAACTACCACTCCAAGAATGGTGAACCAGAAATCGGGTACTCTGCCACCTTCAACTAAGTCTAAGTCAGAAGCAGTAGTCAAAAACTCTGAGGATGCTATATGTAGTTCTCTTAATAATTCAGCAACATCATCTAAATCTCGATCAACTCCTGGAAGATCTCAAACAATGAGCTTTTTAAAACCTTCTAGTTCCATAAGCAAAAAACATGAAGCCGTCAAAGGAACATCAGTAGATGAAACTACCACTTACAAACAGCAAAGAGATGTAGGTGTCAAAAAAACTAGACCAACGTCAGCCCCTACTCCAAAAGTTTCTAGAGGAAACAAGCAGATAAAGGAGTCAGTTAACAAATGCATTTCCACAGTTGGTCCTTCAAAACAATCTTCAACAAAAAAATTGGGAGAAAGGCCCAGAACTGCTCCTAGTTCAGCAACTGGCCAGAGGATTATCACACCTAAAACTAAAACAATGAAGACAACCTCGCAGGTGAAATCCAATTCCTTAATTCATACTTCAAGAGAGGAGAGAGTCACAAAAATGGAAGCTGTAGCCAAGGAGACAAGAGCAGAGGAAAAACAGCCAAAAGAAGACACAAAATTAATGGAGAAATCACAGCTAGATACATTGCCATCTTCTGATCAAGAGAAGGGATCTCTTGAAGAGCATACTAAAGAGGTTGATCCAGATAAAGTTGAGGTTATTAAACATCCTTCGTTACTGTGTGAAGGAGACTCTTTGGCTCTGGCACAGGAAATTTCAACAATACATGAAAAGACGGCCACAGAACATAAGGAAGAAATGACAGAAATTTGAATATCTGCCTTTATTTGTGTTTTATCTGAAGAACTTTGGTGTTTACAATAATGATCTGCTTTGCTAGTCAAAGGAAGTTTATTGTCCCTTGTATTACATGCTACCTATTTAGCTAATGAGCAATAATGTGATGTCATATTACTAAATAAAAAAAAAGTCTGTTCACAACAGATATAAAAGTTGAATCAATTCCTATGGGAAAAAAAGAGAAGTTCTTGGGAAGACAAAGTATATAGGATTTTAATAAAATTTAACAACATTATCATCATAGACCAAGGAGCCAAGTAAGAAAGTAACCGAGCGGTTTATTCAAGGATATTGGCTTGGTATCTGTATTTTTTCTTTTTGATTAGTTATATTAGCCAAGAAATATTCCTTTTATAAGTTAGCTGGTAGAACAAAATCCACCTGGTGATTTCTACCACATAGATCACATCAACCAGCTTTCTCTTGTAACCAAAAAAGATCTCTTCATTAAGTTTAACTATTTTTAAGTTTTGTTGTAATATTGTATGAATTTTGTTTATAAGTTTATTTTTCAATAGCAATATTTTTTTTTTTCTAGTAGTTATTTTTAGTGGCGAGTGAAAGTGTAATTGAGAGATGTGTATTATATTTTTTATGTAGTGTTTTGAAAAAAATGAACAAGCGAAAAGCACTGAATAACTAATAAAAAAAACAAACGTGCTCCAACTTGTAAATTATTTCGGTGAAACCAAACCGGTTATTTTAGATTACTTATTCATGAAAATAAAATTGTTTTTAGGCCTCAAGTGAAGATTGTATACATGTAATTGTATCAGGATTTCCTGGAACCAAGATGAAAATATCTTGGTTCCGGGACTGTTTACCAAAGATTTTTGAAAAAATATTTAGCTAAGGATAAATCATCTTGGAGATTAGAGACGAGATTGTGCTATTGTAAAATAAGGCCTAAACTATCATATCATATATATATATAGAAAAATATTTAGAATTTTTATCAAATTGTGGTAGTTGTTCTATTTTCTTTTAAACTATCTTTGTATTCATCTTCAAACAGTAAATTATAAATTTTTGTTTCTTAATCTGAAAAATAGTGAATATAAAAAAAATTGTTTCAGAACTAGAAATCTTAACCAAATTGGATTTTTTATTTACGAGCAATCTAAATTGAGTATTATGAGAAGAAATTAAACTACCAAGTTATCGTTAAGCAATAAGTTCCATAAATTATAAAATCAAAAATTTTGTATTGATTAGTTACTTTAAATGGTGCTACTTCAAGAAAACAAAGTACTGTATAAATAAACTGGTGAAAGTAACTCGGATCATATAGCCAACAAGTTTCAGGATAGCTAATGTGTAAACATGTTAAAAAAATTGATGAACTTTTAACTGTTCAGAATTTCTAAAACACAAGATACTCTGCCCTTTTTTTTTTTTAAACCTGTGGGGAAAGAAAAAAAGTGATTTTAACTGCCATACCACACTGGGTTTTTCATGTACGAACTGAATCTATTTTACAAGTTCTAAAACTTAGATTTAATTACAGTATCAGCAACTATGTTTGTTAGATATTTTATAAAAGTGCAGCTTTATTTATAATCTGACCAAGTGTCCTTATTTGGGGTGTTACAACGGATGATATTTCTCATCCAGTTTGTTTTTTCTTCACACTAATTAATATCGTATTTATACCACTTTAGCTTTCAGCTGATAAAAAAAAAAATACTTACAAACAACAACATGCGATGTGATAAAACATGCATTTTCTAAGTTAATGAACATTACTGTAATTCTTAAGGTACGTACCACACTGTTACATGAAATTGTGAAAAATTTGATGTTATATTCTTTAAGACTTGCATTTGCTGGACACTTAGCAGTTTTCAAGGCTGATTTAAAGAAAAAAAAACTAGGCCACTTACTTAATTATTATAGAGTACAAAGTATGTGTTATCTATGCAAAAATACGTTTATTTGAATCTCAGTTTTGGATTAGTTTATAAAGTGTATTTTGAGATATTTAAGTCGGTGCATGCATTTAATGATATTTTTGGTTGTGTCATGAGTTGGTCTCTGCTACTTAAAGTATATACTTTAATCAAAATTTCAAAAATAGTTTTATTATAGTGTTAATTGATTTGTTTCCTACCATTGTTATGTATTTTTCTGGCTTTACATTTGTAATAATGATGCATTTCTTCAATAAAGTTCCTGTTAAGAATGATAAGTTTTCTGTTTAATGTTCAGAACTGTCTCTCATTCACATATTTTGATACAGTTAATTCACAAAACAGAAAAAATGTACTGAAGTTGAAATCTTCAATTATTTAATTCATGTCGCTAATTAAAAAAATACAAGTTTTAAAATAATTAGTTCAGTTTTAACTTTTTTTAAAATTAAGAAAAAAGGGGGAAAATGTAAACGTAACCTTTCCATATATTTTTTCTTGTGAAAGAAGAGTAAATCTTTCTTACTTTAGTTACTTCATAAAATTGACTTCATCAAAACTGTACAACTCGTGACCTTTTCTACTTGGGCATGAGATGATTGTGATTTTTTATAACCAATTTATTACTTCAATGTTACAAACATCTGTGCAAAAAAAAAAATTGTGCGTGTTACTAAGACATCAAACTCTTTTATACTGACCAAAGCTTAAATAATTATAATATCTTGAGCTTTATCAGGGGGGGAGGACTTAAAAAATTGATACGTGCAACTGCTTTTGTTTTCTCATTTAGCCGTTTTTAATTCACGGATGGGTAAAGGCCCATCTTGTAAAAAAAATGAAACCACAAACTTAAAACTACCTATAATACTATTTTGTAAGTAGAAGTCGAAAAAGTAATATTACAAAAAAACATCTAAAGGGGGGTGTGGGTGTAGAAAAACATTCTGAAATATTAAAACAAGAATGTGTACGTTGAAACTGCTAATCACTGACGTTTCAAATAACTCTTAGACAATGTACTAAAAGTTATAATTATATCACAATACACCTCAATAGTTAAGATTTAAGAAATTAATACTACAATAGCCGTTTGACGAAACATTTTATTGTGAAATTGTTTTATATACATTTTTGCAGTGTGTGTATTAGAACAACAGATCTCTCAGAAGTAATCCTCCTTTATTCCACTTCATACTTTATCAAACTACGATGAACATAAAACCACAAGCCTGTAAAATAAGTTTACTTGTCAGTTCATAAAATCACAAGCAAGTAAAAAAAAAGAACATATAAAGTTAGCCACTAATAAGTTACAGTTTCATTGCAGGTTCACATAACATTATATTTTGGTCACTTGACAACAAAAAACAACTTATTTTATCCCCTAACTATTGGAACTTTCATCTTGTGTAGTTAGCTTGGATCACAAGTAAGAATATGAGTACTGTTTGTTAACCTGGATGCACATATAATTCAAAATTTGGTATCTAAATGAAACAAGTGTAACATTTTTTGTATGTTTAAAAATCACTATTTTATTGATATGCAGCTTTCACTACAACTACATTCAGTTTCACAAAGAGTTACTAAATAAGCTAATACCAATACGTAACTTTTTATAAATATTATTTATAAAAAACAAACTAAATTTAGAACTATGCAACAGTTTAAAAAAATCTGTTTTTTTTATTTGTTGTTAAGCACAATGGCGACTGCGAGTATCGAAACCTTATTTTTTAGCGTTATAAGCCACCAGACTTACCAGGGAGCCAAATTTACTGGTTGCACGATGTATATGTATGTTTGTGGCAACAGAAACACGAACCCTTGAATTTACAGTCACATTAGGCTCTACATCTGACTAATACTTAGTGGTTATTTCATTTGCATACGTAGTTCTGTCCTGGGTTATTTCAAAGCCTAAATTATGTATTGTAGCTAATGGGACATTCTTACAAAAAAAATGTATGACACATTCTAATACAGCTATGACCAGATACGAAAAAGAAACTTCCGAAGCTTGTGAAAACGATGTTGTGAAATTATATATTTCTTCTAGTTGTGACATCTGATTGATGGAAACTTGCCTAAGTTTGCTTCCTAATGGTAATATCTATCTTTTACTTTATGTTACTATATTACTAATTGACCAGTTAAGAGAGGATTGCTTATTTGTTTGTTTGTTTTGAAATTCTCGCAAAGCTACACAAGGGCTACCATCCCTAATTTAGCAGTGAAAGACTAGAGGGAAGGTAGCTAGTCATCACCATCCACTGCCAGCTTTTTTTTACCAACGAATAGTGGGATTGAACATCACGTTATAACATCCCCACGGCTGAAAGAGCAAGCACGTTTGGTGGGACGGGGATTTGACCCTCAGATTGCGAGTCAAGCATCCTAACCACCTGGCCAAGCCGGGCCTGAGAAGATTGAAACATTCCGTTTTGTTTTTTGGGGGTAAAAATTGTTTCGTAACACTCACCGTACAGGTAATCAGCAAGTTTGTTATACCATACTCAGACCTGACACTAAAGATCGGGCTGACGTTACAGTTGTTGGTGTGCTGGGTGATTCCCTTGTCCAGTTGTTGGTGAAAGTTGTGCAAGGTAAAACTGTCTTGCTGAACATAGAGAGAGGTAAGATTTATCAAACTTGAATAAGATATAACTATAGAAATTTTAAGAAGTTAACAATGCTTTACTGGAATAATCCCATAAAAAGTAGTAAAAAACACTTTTTTTTTGGCTGAGAATTCTATACTTGTCTGCAAACAAACAAATACATCCTCCAAACGTTTGGAGGATGTATTTGTTTGTTTGCAGACAAGTATAGAATTATTAATTGTTTTCATTAGTAGTTCAGTTTCAGTTTGTATTTTTTTAGTTACTGCTATTTAATACCAAGTATGTATTACATTTCTGATAACATATGCATTTTTAAAGTTAAGTGTAATGGCTTTTGTGGTTTTTTTTGATATCATTAATACATTAATTTGAATATAAGTTCCTCATTCGTGAAATGCGATTCTGTCAGTGTCAGTGAATAATACTGAGATTAATCATAAAGAACCATATCCCATTAATTCAACGGAGGATATTTTTTAGATAATCTTTCAAGTTTATAAAGGTTAATATAATGGAAAAAAAAAAATATAATTAACATTCTCACCTCAGTATCAATTTGTATTCCACATGGGCAAAATATCACAGAACCAGCCTGAGCAAGAGGACTTCTATATATGTACATAAAAATAATTAAAATCATTAGAGTTAGTCTTTTGGCAGTTTCATTCCCCGGTGCACTTTACACTATATAGCTGGTTACTGCTTAAAACCAAGACTGAGAAAAGTACCACTCATTTAAATAATTATAAGACATTTTTTAAATGATCCCTTGTAGTTTTACACATTTTTTGGGGGGGGGGGGGTAATATATGTTACATAGTTAAACATCAAGTATTGGAGAAAGAAGATAGTCGAACAGGTTCTATATTTTAAAATTAAAAACTGGATCAATATATATATATAAAATACACAATACAAATTTTTATTTAGCTGATAACCAAAATTATAAAAAACTCTACATGTTTTGGTAGCTTTTATGATGATAGCATAAAGTTACCAAAACACGCAATCTTTTAATTTTGTCCGTTAGACAAATAAACTTTTTATATAGTGCATTTAATCGTTGATCCCATTTCTAATTTTAAAATATATTGCACAAGTTGCCGTAATTGAATCTTCAAGTTCTGTATTGTTTAATCACTTCAGCAGACCATAGTTTTATGTAACATAAGTATAAACACACATTTGTCCTACTAACTTTAATTAAGTAATCACAGTTTAGAAGAACAGTATCTGACCCAAGCAAAAAACATGGTACCATTTGAACACGTAATGAAGTTAATCTAGAACAGCTAAACACGGGTTTTAAAGAATAAGCAACAGTTTGAACAATTCATATGATAAATAAGCAATATTTACAAACACCTAATTAAAATTCGATGACGAGGAACCCACTTTGAGACTAATAATGGCTTGTACTTGTACCTGATGATGACAAAACCTTGTCGAAACGTTGTACATTTGCTGTTATGTTAAACTTATATTAAAGTTTTTCTTCATTACCCATTCGAGCCGTCTCCAGCCATTATTAAACACCTAATTAAAATGTTTACTTAATATAGTTAAGTTGCAATCGAGAAAAGTAACCAATAATTACCCCCTTCCTTACTGATTTATTTTTGATGATATCTAAAACTTGTACCACTGATGTATTATAAACTTATACTACCAGTGGAGTATCTAGTATTGATTTATTTATAAATGCTACTAAGCAGAGCTGGGAAATTAGCAGAATTTGCTAATTCATTAATTGTAGGGGATCATTAATAAATTAGTTGGTTTTTATCATGTAGTAGAACTAATCAAATTAGTAACAATCAGAAACACTAATTGATTAACGTGAATTAGTAAAAAAAATAATACCATATTTAAAGACTTAAATTTGATGTGTTCTTTTTAAAGAAAATTTAAAGACTTAATTTTCTACACTAAGTATTTTTTTTTTGATAAAGCTAAATTTCTACTAATAGATATTAATTAGTTTGTATGGAGATTATTTTTACCTTTGACATACTGGACAAATGACCTCATCTCTCTGTAACAATTCAAAACGACACTCTTCAGTCTCTCCTTTTTCTATTTTTTGAAGGAAATTTTGTTCTACATAATAGAAAAGTTATAAATTAAAAGCTTTTTTTTTAGTAATATGAACTGTCTACACATATGAATTTATTTTATTTTTTAATCAGAATTAGCTTTTAGCACTTAACTTAAATTTTCTAAATGATTAAGATAATACTTAGGTCAATCCTTTAAGTAATGTTACAGAGAACACATGACAATTTGGTCTCATCCTTGAGAAAAAGTAAAAAAATGTTTGTTTTGAATTTTGTGCAAAGCTACACGAGGGCTATCTGCACTAGCCATCCCTAATTTAGCAGTGTAAGACTAGAGGGAAGGCAGTTAGTCATCACCACCCACTGCCAACTCTTGGGCTACTCTTTTACCAACGAATAGTGGGATTGACCGTCACATTATAACGCCCCCACGGCTGAAAGGGCAAGCATGTTTGGTGGGACGGGGATGCGAACCCACGACCCGCAGATTGCGAGTCGAGCGTCATAACCACCTGGCCATGCCGGGCCCATAAAAAATGTAAATCCATCTCTTAAAAAACATGAATTGTGATGAAAAATGATAACTTTGAATTTTAGATTTGAAAGTTAAACGCTTATTATTACCTTTTTTACTCACTTTTTCAATAATTCTAATTTTTTAGCCACGCATACTGCCGTTACTGTGACATAATAACACGCAGTTTACACATTTCTTATCAGTAAAATATGTTTACACAAAAACTACTATACTGTGATAAGAAAAAGGTTGAGGATTAGTAGGACATATTTTACTTATATAGGGTGAACTGAAATAAACGTAGTCTGAAAAAAAAGTAATTACAAATAATTAATCACAAAGATAAATCTAATCAACTACAAAAAACCCTTATTTGTTAAGTTTATTAGATACTTATTCAAACTATCACAAAAATAAATAACAATGTAATATATGTCATCACTGACACAAACAGGGAAGTAAGTGGAGTCACATCTAAAATGAGATTAATGGCCCACATTAGCCTGAAGGGGCAATGACATTTCAGGGAATCTGGTAATGCTGACCCTGGTCTAGTATCTTCGGCAAAACCTTTGATACACAAGTCTTCACACGTAGTCTGTTACATATACGTCTGTGTTTACCTTCCATCACTAGCTCTTCTTGAATTTGCTTCCAAGTGCTTGTAACCTCATCAGTTTCTTCTAATACCTGTATCGAAGATAGAGAAAGATTAAGTTATTCACACCTGTATTACAACTGCAAATTGACAGAATCTCTTTATTTTTTCTTTAAGACAAATTTTGGCCGTAAGAGACATGAACAATTTTCTACTGCAGCTAAATTAATTCGGAAAATCATCACGTGTTTAGCTTGCTATTGGAGATAAAAACAACTATGTATCTGTTTATTTTATACGCAATTACAACACTGACTGAGGTATGTATAACCAGTATAGCCAAATTTCTAACTGTGATTATTAATAGTTTCAAACCAGAATGTCTAGTTTGATTGTGAAGTCAGTTTAAGACCACCCTACCACAGGCCTAGCATTTCCCTCTCATGTGTGAGACAAGAATAATTTTGAACATACAAAATTAGCAGGCTACAAAGTTACCTTTTTTTTTTTGTTTGTTTCTAAATCACAACTTATGTGACATAAACTTTAAAATGATAATTTCACATCTATTGCACAGAAATGACAAAAACAAAATAGAGGCTTTTTTAATTTTTACCTCAGACTTCTGGTCTTCAGACAACTGTGATGGCAACTTTCTCCAACTTCCCTTGAAAACATCCCATTCTTCCTTAATCACCTCTTCCACCAACCCATCAAGCCTCCCATGGTAACTGTCGAAACAGTTATCTTTTGAGTCATCTATTTGTGGAAGTTGACGGAACTGGTCGAGTAATTTCTGACGCCTCTTTGTTAGACCTTCAAAGCAACGCTATATGAAAAATGATATTAAAATTCTCTAATGATTATCATCTGAAAGTAATTATATAAATATTAATAGTTAAAGATACCGGTCTATTACCTAATTTAACAACATATATTTTCCAAATCCTAACTGTAATGGTAAATGTGCATAAATAATCTCAGGCCTTGGCCTTAACTTTTGAAAACACTAACAGATGACAACTAGTTTTTTTCCACACTGGCAAATTTGGAACTGCTACTAGGAACAACATTATTCTACTAAATTTAACTGTCATAATTAATTATGTATTAATCTTAATTGTTATGTTTCTTTCCAAATATTCTTTTGAATATCAGAACTCATTTTAATTACACAACTGTTTTTATTTGAATATTTCACAAAATTTAACAGATTTAAAAATACTGTACCAAAGTGTCTGCTCTTTGAAGGTAATACTAAAATATAAATCATGCATCTTGCTAATATTACTCTTAATTAGTGTGTAACTTTTAATAATAAAATACTATTTTCTTTAAGTATAGGGTGGCCATTAGCAGTTAAGTAATGTCGATTCAAGTACTCGTGGCCTAGATACACCAGTTTCCACCCAAATCAAGCCCACGAGTACTTGAATCGACATTACTTAACTGCTAATGGCCACCCTATACTTATTATTAAAAGTTACACACTAATTAAGAGTAATATTAGCAAGATGCATGATTTATATTTTATTATTACCTTCAAAGAGCAGACACTTGGGTACAGTATTTTTAACCACACTGCCGGCAAAACTGTACTGCCGAGGCAGGATAGTGCAAGTCTTGCTGACTGACCCACGTGTTATTTACCTCGGCAAAAAAAGTAAACGAATGTCTCTACCCCCATTTACTGATACTTAGCCTGGGGGGGGACACTAAACTGGAATGGCACCAGCAAGTAAAACAATCTTGTTAATCACAATTATAACAAGTTTCTGTACTCAAGATATTAGAATATTAATGAGTGAAATGCATATTCTATGGGTAAATTGATACCTGACTGCAATAACCTGTGAGGCTTCGTTTTAAAATAAATTCTAGCAATTTTTTCTAGTACGTTTTACTAGCAAGACTACAATACTAACCACCAATATGTTAGTTTGATATTGTTAATTTCAAGTCCTGAACCTGACAATTCTCCCAGCTTTTCACTTGCCATAAACTTACTTCATTGTTCTTTAGGTTCTTACAACTGTATTATATGAAAATATTCAATTTGCAATGAATTTTAGTTACTTTAGAGAGAAATGTAGCTTATCAATCCCTTTGACACAGATGCAGTCCATAAAAACTTCACATCTAGTACAAATAAACTCTTCTTAGAACTCCTCTAATCCAGACTTCAAGAAAGAAAATAGTTATCAACAATTTCAAGCTCACAGTTAACTAAACTAATAACTAAAATGCCTTCATCTTTAAGTGGATTTTGCCAACCATTCACCAATTAATTATTTTCTGGTGAATTTTTCACACATTTCAGTTTGTTTAAATAATCTTTACCATCAGAAAAAGAATGAACAATCTTTACAAAAAGATGGCAAATGAAGAAAACAAAACGAAAGTGTATATACATATTGGTTCTAAAGCCCAAAAGAAAAAAACAACAACAGAAAAGTGGTATGCAAATTCTGACAAACTAATCTAATGTTGTTAAATATATATATATATATATATAAATTTATTACTGAATTACAACTACACGGCATTAATAAACCTTGAAATACAGTATTTACCATAAGCTGCTTGATATCACAGAGACTCTTCAAGACCTGGGCCAGCTTAGGAAGGTAAACAATTACAAGAGGTGCAACCTCCCTTGTTGTCTAGAAATACCCAAGTTTAATTGCACCAATTATGCTGAACTGAGAGACATCTGATGATGTTTTTAGACATATTTTAAAATGTGCAAGTTCCACTAAGCTCCAATTATTTGACATTATGATATACGACTTGAAAGGCTTAATAAATCCTTTTGAAGAACAAGCTTGCTAGAGTGCTAACTGACAAGTTTATCTATTTGTACTTACACACTTAATGATACTTAACTCTTCTACATGTTAGGTGCAGATGGACAAATTAAAAAATAGTAATATTAAACAACAAACTACGTACAAAAAACCTAAAGAATTTGAAAACATAAATCATGTATGACTTTAAAAAAAAATGCTTATATTTACAACAATTTACTGCAACCTTGAAATTTTGATCACTTTCTTCATATTGGTGTTAATATGTTTATTTTATAATTAAAAATAATTGATTTTTTTCATTATGTCTGAAGGAATAAATATACCAAATTACATACATGTTATATTAAAAGTAAATATTACTATGCTTTCACATATCAAAATAATAAAGTACATCCAACATTTTCCATAATTTATCTAATAGTGCTGAGAAAAATGAACAAAATGATTTATAAGTAACATAAAATTGTTAAACTCTATCAAATGTGTTTTGTGGTATTATAACTTCATTCAATGCCTTGGGCACCTCAAGAACATTGTCACCTAAGTTTGGAATTTTGTACCATCATGAATAAACAGTATTCTCCTCCAAACTCCCAACAGTTTACTGATTTCAAGTGTCAGATATGTAATGAAATATTGATTAACATATAAAACTTTTTATTTGTATCGTGTATCTATAAACACAGCAGTTAAAAGCTTTCCAAGCAAAATAAGTTAACCAATATTTTAAAGCTGACTTTTTTGTGTTTTGTTTCACCCAAGCTACAAGTACATGCTAAATTAAACAAGCTGCAAAACTGATCAAATTACCATATGGTTATATCTTTTGTTTGTCTGAGATTTAGCCACTTTTCAAATCTTAAAACCTCATATTAAGAAACCAAAAAATTATGAAGATTTAATACTAATTTGAGATGGATATATCAAACATCATAGTACAAGTATGAAAATGACAATAACATTTCATTACACAGGTAACATCAATACTTTTGAAATAATTTTATAATTATAAACATAACTCAAACAGTGTATGCTGAAGGGGATAAAAAAAACATTTATAACTGTATTCCATACAGAAAATGGGGGAAAAAGTTAATAAATTGAGCAAATATGGTATATTAACTTCCATTACTTTTAATAATATGAACTATTTCAAAGATTATTTCACTATAATTTATGATTTAATAATAATATGACATTGGCAACATATTTACGTTCGCCTTTACGCCTATTACAGTATTAATATTTCATTGTTATTACTGCCAATACTGGTGTTATGAACCAAATTTATAATCGAGTGCAAATGGTACGACCTAAACTGTTTAACTAGATTTAATGTTTATTCAACTACACTAAAGAAAAACTAATAAAGCGCAAAAGAGGTTAAGGTTCAACTTAATCAGGCTTGACTAAGTCAAGTTATAAGGTATAAAGTTAGGGTTGTTTTGACACTGTTCTTCTTTAGCCTACTGTAGTCTAACCTGACCAAATTAAAATAAAATCAATTTTAAAATACCACTTATTTTTTTAGTTTTAACACTTTCTGATTTATTACAAATTAACCTTTAAAACAATTATATGTTTTAAATTCCTACTTTTCTAAAAGTTTCTTTCCATGGAGGCGATTTCGCTTTGTAAAGACTTTTGTGTAACACTAAACTCTCCATATCATTCGAACTTTGTGCTTCCACATTTCCTTAATTACGTACACAAACCCTATTATTATCATCGCCAGGTAAGAGCACTGAAAGTTTAACAAAGATTAAAAAAATTGGCAAAGATATTGTTTTATAATTTGGAGTCCGCAAGTAAGTCAGCGGTATGTATGTTTATTCGTTTTAGAGCACAGCCACATTGAGCTATTTGCTGTGTCCATCTTAGAGAATCGAACCACAGATTTCAGCGTTGTAAATTCGTAGGCTTATTGCTGTCCCATCGAGGGAAAGTTGTAAGTTTACGGGCTCACAACACTAAAATCTGGGGTTTGATTCGCCGTGATGGTTAGCTACATTTTATTCTGAAAATTTTAAATAAAGAAATAACGAGAATGACAAAATTTTATTAAAATATATTGAAAAAGAGCATGAAATGATATTTTTTACAGAAATATAAAAACAAATTTAATATGTTGCAGAATATACGTGTTAATAATTTTAATGTTTTTCTTATAAATAATATGCCCTCCAATGACTCAGCAATAAGTCTTAAGACTTATAACACCTAAAATAGGATTTCTATACCCACGGTGGGCACAGTAAAGGTAGCCCATTGTGGAGATTTGCGCTTAAGAAGAAATAATCTTATAAATAATTAAGTTGTTTTACTTTTGACTATTATATTTCATCCAAATAAGTTGAATTACTAATAATCATAACAACAAATAATAATAATAATTCGTTGATTATTTCTTACAAATGAACAGTTGCTTTCTCAAAAATCAACTCCAGGAGGAATAAACCTTTCAGTTTGTTTTGAAATTAAAACATCCATTAATAGTTTTTCGTTTGTTTGTTTGTTTTGAATTTTATGCAAAGGTACAAGAGGGCTATCGGAGAGGTTACACTGTTAACCAAAATGCACCACAATTCATCTCAATTTCAGTTATAATGATTGCTCTCTCAAACCATGGTTTATAATTTAACTTGGATGTAATTCTATATACACTATAAGCTCCTGATGTTGTTAAATAAAATTTTCTGACCCGATCTACCAGGTAGAAAAAAATATTGTTTGAACGTAAAACTCCTTAGTTTATGTGTTCTAAAGCTTTTCATCTTTAGCCATATATTTTTTTCCTCTACACATTTACCACCTATACAACTACTTTTGACCGAATAGCGGGATTGACTGTCATAATTATAAAGCTTACTGAACAGAAAATGGAAAAAATGTTCAGAAGACTATTACAGTTTAAACTTTGGACCTCCCGATCAGCGGGAGTTTGTGAAAAGGAATCAACAAGCAAAGCGTGTTTGTAGTTTTGTCCACCTTTCGCCAATTTCCCGGTGTTTTTCCCAAACTAATTATCCAACAGATTTTTTTTTTAAGTTGTGGGTAAAGAGAGCAATAAATTCGTACTACTTTGGTGAGCGATCTTGTTCTTCTTTATCCTGGACTTGGACATATCTATTTATATCCATCCTCTTGCACGAGAACACGTATGTTGCCTTCATAACTTGTAGATGAAACATGTGTATTTATATAAAAGTACCAAGTATGAACCCCAGAGGTGAAGTTAGAGTATGCACAAGCAGTGGCCACTTGTCAAACTAGTGATGGTTGTATCCATTGATAGGTTCATTGTGTTGGTCCTTGATCCACGTCTTACTGACGGGAGGGAAATAATGATGTAACATTATTTACCGTGTTATGAAATGGCGTTGAAAATATTCGACTTACATACTACCACGAGCCATGATTTTTGTGAATATAAGATTGAGTGATAAATTGGACCCCCTTCTTGAGTTTGGTGTAAAAACTCAGATGCCATTCTTCCTACAAAGAAGGTGCAATCAGCATCGTAAAACGAATCCAATATTTTAATGTTTGTTGGAAAAATGGTTCTGGATAATGGAAGAAATAAATGATCGCATAAATGAGTGAAAAACTACTGAGCATGGTATTTATCAACTTATGTATTCCTTTCATAGGGAATTATGGAAGATTTGTCAGTGATCTTTGTAGCTGTTATTGGTCTGCTACAGAAGCTGTTTGTGTTGTAGCATATAACACGTGTTCAAACTGATGAAGTAATCCAGCATACTTAATTAAACAGACTAAACAGGAAGCGAAAAAAGTTTGAAGCAAGTAATGCAACTTTGGACCTTCTAGTTTTCTGAAGAATTATTGTAATCGTGGACACTAGATGTATACAAAAATATCAGTCTAAGGATGGAGTGTATGATGTATGGGTCAGAAGTGAAACGAATGATCTTTTCCGTGCAAAAATTCAGTTCCGTCATGTAGTAAGGTGTGTTCTCTCTGGATTCAGAGTGACCAGCTGTACTAGCCTGGTATTGGGCAAGATAGCATCAGTTATATAGTTTCTGGAGCGAATCACAAGCTTCCATACCCGAGGGAATTCAGAATAATGTAATAATTATCGGTTATAACTTGGATGAATCGGTCAATGATTGAAGGTGGAATGTGAAGATTTAGTGTACACGGTATCCGAATTGTAACATTTTAATTAATGGGCGACTTGTGGTTGAAGTTAAAAGCGATTTTCTGGTAAATTATGTAGCTCTCAACATTAGTTGGATTGACTTTTTTTGTTTGTTGTTAAATTCAAAGTTATACAATGGTATCGAAACCAGGATTTTAGCTTTATAAGCCAACTGACTTCCCACTGACCCATCTGGGAGCTTGGATAAGGTGAACACCAAATATACGTAAATAAAAATATATACTCAGAATAGTGGACAAAAGTTCCGTCTTATAGATACATGTTTTTCATGCCGAACGCGACGAAGATCAATTTAATATATATTTTTTAAGTGATCAAGTTAGTATATAAAACATCTAATAATTAATATATAGCTTTAACTTTTGTTAATTCATGAAAACATTGAAAGATTTAAGTACATTTCGCTAGAAGGAATTGATGTCAGCAAATTATTATTATACTAACTCAGAAGTTGAACTACTATTTTATGTTTTTGTTTTTTTTAAACTAGGATGAAATTTAAAATACTGAAGTATAGATAGAGTTCTACTGGTAATTCATTTACATCTTAGTCTAGTTTGAATAGTTATTTTTTATAATGTTTGAAACTAAACATGTATCATCTCATATATAACAGAGTCTTCTCAAACTAAACTTTGAACTTTTGGCTTAACAGGGTCTGTTACTCTGTGGTCTATTAACATCTACGGAAGACTGTTACTGTGTGGTCTATTAACACCTATAGGGTTGTTACTGTGTGGTCTATTAACACCTATAGGGTGTGTTACTGTGTGGTTTTAACACCTAGAGGGTCTGTTACTGTGTGGTCTATTAACACCTACAGGGTGTGTTACTGTGTGGTTTTAACACCTAGAGGGTCTGTTACTGTGTGGTCTATTAACACCTACAGGGTGTGTTACTGTGTGGTTTTAACACCTAGAGGGTCTGTTACTGTGTGGTCTATTAACACCTACAGGGTATGTTATCTGAGTGGTCTATTAACATCTACAATATACACCAAGCCTTTTACTTCGATCTTAGTGATCGTATAACAATGTCCGGATATCCGTTTATACACCAAAGACAAAGCTAATATTAGTGTGGTTACTTAGAGATACTGCTGAAAGTTGAATTAAAGGACAACAACAACGACGTATAGTTCCCACTGAAGAAGAAAATCCAACTTTATTTGTCATGAGGTGGAATAAAAATAGCAATATGAATTTTAATATCAAACATACAAGCATTCATTTTCAAAGCAAACTTTTAAGACAAGTTGAAGAAAACACGAGTAAAAATAGCCCCCTGAAAGGCGAAGATTTTGCTTTAAAATCATTACACACCTATTTTTGAATGTATAATTACCAATAAGAGATCGAAATCTACAATAAACCGACACACATATACAGTGGTAAAAAAGGTGCATTTTGATAGAAGGATATCAGAAAAACGTGGATGAACAGCAAGAATTAATGTATATTACAGAATTCTAGAAAGGCAGCAATATTCAAAAACCGCACGCGGTAGTTGAATAGTAAGTATAGTTAGCATATCCTTAATTGAATACAATGCACAACAATATTTTCAAATAGGTTAAAATAACAAAAAATTACGTTTTCCGTAATGGGATTTGTAATTAAAATGTAAAATATAGCATACTTGAAATACCCATTCGAAGGAATTAACAATGAGAAATCTGACAATTACAATGCACCATTTTAAAATAAAACTATAGTCACTAGTACTTTTTACTTTGGGCTACATTGCATTGAAAAATTACCTTCTAATATTTATAGATAATTTTAGAGAGGCACTGTAATAAAAAAGTCGTTATTCAATAAAGATAGCACATCGAATTTCCCGTATCATCCAATTTACCTTCCTTCCCTACAAGATAAGTGCAGTGACCCAACATTAAACAGGTTAGGCCTACAGATGTTGAATCATACACATACAATAACAGAGAAATAAAGTTTATAGGTTGAGATTGCACTACTAATTTTATGTGTTGGTTTCATAATTACCTCTTTACCACCCCTTTATTTTCACTACATTTCCAAACAAATGTAATAATAACGCTATATTTCCAGAACTGTTTAATGGAAATAAAGGAAAAACAAACAAAATGTAACAAACTTTTCGAATATTTTGCACTTGGTCAAAGAGTTTCTATCGCTTTTAAATTGGTAAAGTGTATCAAAAAGTAATTCCGTATAAAATAGCGCAAATACAAGGATAGCGTAAGAGATTTATGTAACATCAGAGAGTGTAGCACGTGATAGGCTGCGGGACTTTGACTACGTCATAATTTCTGGGACACACAGTAACAATCGCCTGTGGAAACAATTGAAAACAATAAAAGATAACAGTAAAAACAATGTCTGTGGTTATTTAGAAGCTCAAAAAATACCGAATGTAAACATCTCCCCAAAGTGTAAACAATAATAATTATTAATAAGCCTAATAACAGCAATTAAAACACACCAGCATGCCTTTTTCTATACATTCATCTTAATTAGTCCTCTACGGATTTCCGATTAAATGAGGGTAAAAAAATACCATTTTAAAATTAATTTTTGATTGCCAATTCGGATTTAAGGCATGTAAAAATAGAGTTAACACGTGATCTTTACATGCCTCTAATTTGAAATCCATAATAGACTAATTTAAGAGAATTATAAAAAAACAACAATTGTAGTTTAGTTAGTTTTTTTTATCACTATTATCAGGTCTACTGGTTTCGTTGCTTCACCAACTTTTGTCGTTTAAAACCGTAACATTAAATAACAATGCAAACGTCAAGTTTCAAGTAATTCACATCTGTTGATCAGGGTACAAGTACTGTTATTAATATCCCGGATGTAGGAAAACGCGAGGATAATGGGCTTTTGTGTCCTTTCTCCGATTAATAAGCTTCTAAGAAATTAACGATTCACTTTCACGTTAAACTAAATAAATATATTTTTGAAATATACAAACTACAAATCGCATTTGAAAGTTTTTCCAAAGATTAACACACATTTCTTTAGATTTAAAACACCAGACAATGATGACACGTCCAACAGATTTCGTTTAACGAATGAGAAGTTAATAACTAACAAATTAAGAAGCCGATTGGTAGAAAATGACATATTTACAGTTTATATAATTAACAGGCGTAGGTATAAATGTGGGTGTAACTGCAATTATACACATACATATATATATACATATAGAACATAATTACTATCAAAATGCAAAATTCTCAGTGAAAATAACAAAATATTTCAGAGGATGCCTCACACACCTCATTTCTTCTTTTCTCCAAAATTATAACCTCGCCCTGTTTCGATATTTCTGTCTTAAACCCTTGAGGTTGGCTTAAAACCCTTAACGAGTCTTAATGTACTACAATTTTATCACAACCGGTTTAATTTAAAACACACACACACACACTTACTATGGATTTTCAGTAAAAAAAAAAACATTTTTTTTCTTCAAAACATAGGCTACATTTAAGCAGAAACACAACTAGGTCTCCAGTGGTGAAACCATTTTGAAGGTCTATTGTTTGGAATTATGCACAAAGCTACACAAAGGGCTATCTTTGCTCTGCCCACCACGGGTATTGAAACCCGGTTTCTAGCGTTATAAGTCCGCAGAAATACCGCTGTGCCACTGGGGGGCTTGAAAGTCTATTCTGAAGCCTAACACAAACTAACACCTTACTGGTGGCCCATATTTGAATCATCACTCTCATGACGTCAAGAAAACACATAGGTTCAAAAACATAAACGAAACACAAAAAGACGAAACCAATATAACCAGAATGTTTTCTCAGTTTGCTCCTGACGGAGAAAGAAAGGTCTACCATTCGAAAACGCTCTGGTTGGAGAGTTTCTTATTTTTGACACATCGCTATTCGCGGATGTAATTTAAATAACTGTCTAACAAGAAGGCTTAAGTTATTATTATTATTATTATTTGTAGTTCAGCAAAAATTTTTTAACTTAATTACTTCACTGGTTAAAACTGTTAAACATAGCATGTTTATGTATGATCATTGATTATTATTGTGGTTATATTTCAGTTATAGTTGGGCGTTCTTTTCTTACTGGCAAATTCGGCATTCTCTTACATTAGCGACGAAATTGATCACATCAAGAAATACGTTGGTTTGAATCTACACCCATTTTTATTCAATTTAGATATGGCAGTCCTTTATGTTGTAATTCTTAATTTTCCTTGAATGTGATGTTATACTTGCCACATGAAATAATATCTTAGGCTTACGCTAAATTTCAGCTTATTAAAATTTGGACGATTACAAAGTTGTATGTTATGATACAATTTTGTTAACCGGGTAAAGACCAAAAAAAAAAATCAAAAAAAAATACAAATTTTGTATAATCGACTTCTTTTTTTTTTGTCATTTTTACTATTTCTTGAATATTTTCATCAAATAGTCCGATCCCCTGTGAGGCTAAAGGTCAACATGAAAATATTTTCGCATAAAGTAATATTGAAATATGCTACTAATGCTACATTTTAGAACCAGTTTTAGGGTCAAAGGTCAATATTACATCATTTTTCGCATAATACTGAGGTATGCTATTAATACAATAATTCTGGATCAGTTGTGAGGCTAAAGGTCAATATTAAAATATTTTCGCATAAATTAATATTGAAATATGCTTCTAATGCTACATTTCTATAATCAGTTTTGGGGTCAAAGGTCAATATTACATCGTTTTCGCATAATACTGAGGTATGTTATTAATATAATACTTTTGGATCAGTTGTGAGGTCAAAGGTCAATATTACATCATTTTCGCATAATACTGAGGTATGCTATTAATACAATACTTTTGGATCAGTTGTGAGGTCAAAGGTCAATATTACAACATTTTCGCATAAAGTAATACCGTTTGTTTTAGAGCAAAGCCACACGGGTCTATCTGCCGTGTCCATCACGGGAAATCGAACCCTGGATTTGGGCGTTACAAGTCCGCAGACATATCGCTGTCCCATAGGGGGTGGGGGGCAGTAATACTGAAGTATACTACTAAATGCGACAATTCCGGATTAATTGTGAATTGGTGATGACATTAACCTTATATTACAAAATAGTTCATATAAAGTAACATTAATGACCACTCCCAGTTTTACAATTCTCAGATTTATTTCCTTCCCAGCAGCCTTAGCGTTCGGAGTAATTAAATCACCAATGCTGCCCAAGAAATGTTGATTTGGTAGGACACCAAGTGAAATATACACAGCAAATATTGTAAACGTCACATTAGAATTGTTCTTCTACGAATATTAATACTAGCTGAAATAAAAAACATATATTATAGGCCACCAGAGGGATGATTTTATAAACGATTCGATAATATTGCGTTTTTTTTATATCATCAACTATTTAATAAATCCATAATGACATCAATTTGTTCGTTTGGTTTTAAACACGAAGCTACACAGTGAGCCATCTCCGCTGTGCTCATCGCAAGCATCAAACCTCTAATTTCATCGTTTGCCGTTAACCACCGGGAGGGAATAATATAAAGTATAACACATTAATACAGAGCATTTTGTTTATCGTTAAAATCAGAAATATTTATTAAAAAAAAAATCTACGTGACTATTTTACTGAGGTCACAGATTCGTCGTTACTAAACTTTAAAAGTTCGAGTATTTCACGCGTTGGAACACAATCCAAATATCAACTTTTAACAAAGTGCAACAGTAACAACAACAACAAAAGCACGTGAGGAAAACACCATCTGATGAAATTTAATCAAATGCTTGTTTTTATAAACGTAGTTTTCACACAGTTATCCTTCAATTAAGAGTTACAAGATGGAGCTAGGGTTAAAAAAATGCATAACTATTTTTTAAACACAGTAAGTACATGTCTACAACACAATGTCTCATAAATAATTTAAAAGTAATCTAGCTCTACCAAGGTAGGCCCCGGCATGGCCAGGTGGTTAGAGGGCGCTCGAATCGCAATCTGCGGGTCGCTGGTTCGAATCCCCGTTCCACCAAAACATGCTCGCCCTTTCGGCCGTGGGGGCGTTATAATGTGACGGTCAATCCCACTATTCGTTGGTAAAAGAGTAGCCCAAGAGTAGTTGGCGGTGGGTGGTGATGACTAGCTGCCTTCCCTCTAGACTTACACTACTAAATTAGGGACGGCTAGCGCAGATAGCCCTCGTGTAGCTTTGCGCGAAATTCAAAACAAACAAACTATCAAGGCATTACTTTACGTCCTAAGCACATCCATTCATACGGTTTAACGTGTTAAAGAAGCAAGGGTTTCAAATATTATTTATCTCACAAAAAAAATGTATTAGAAAGATCCACACTGTACGTCTAGGAGCAAAAAATATTGATCGAATTTTCGTCATTTTGTGTCGTAAAGTTTTTCCTTGATTATTTTCATTTTTGAGAAGTTTATGACTAATTTTCGTTTGAAAAATAGTTCTTATGTTTTAACAGCATCGAAACGGTAAAATAACTGTCTAAAACAAGCAGCATGTTTTACGAAGAATGGAGGAAGTTGATAACACATACATATCACGGTATATAACGTTTCGGGCGAAACGTTATCGTCGGGTATACATCAGTGATTTTTGTCAACAATTAGGTTTCCTGTTTATATAATTTTGAATGCTCTATGTAACTCTCGCACTTTTGTTGTTTTAAGTTAAACAAATACGTGTAGACACATTTATACATATATGTATTTTGTATTACGTGCTGTTGATCTTTGATCAGTTTTTCTCTAATAAACATAACACTCGCTAGTAAGCAACTTCAAAAGGCTTACAGTTACAAACTTAAAAAAAATATAAAATGCGAAAGTTGACAATTGATTTTTTTTAAAGCCTAACAAGAGTTCTTGATACGAAATAACTGGATTATCAGAACATTCTGAAGTCAGTGTTTTTCTAATACACAATCATCCAAATGCTCCGACAATGTGTAAATTGAGTCTAAACAAATAAAACTATGTATGTTCAACTTTAACACCCGCCCCCCCCCTTCCCATGTCTTAAGAAGCAGTATAGTTTAACATAAGATGTTGTTTTGTTGTTTGTAGTTATGAAACCGGGTTTCGATACCCGTGGTGGGCAGAGCACAGATAGCCCTTGTGTAGCTTTGTGCCAGCGTTGTAAGTCCGCAGACATACCGCTGTGCCACTGGGGGGGGGAGCGACGTTTTGAAGATAGTGATGATGGAGGTGATGATGAGAAAGAACGTGAACAGACACTTCTTTGATGCGGCCCGGCATGGCCAGGTGGTTAGGGCGCTCGAATCGCAATCTGAGGGTCGCGGGTTCGAATCCCCGT